CGATGGAAGTACGAAAGAAATCGACTTCCTCAAAACAAAGCTAGTTAAACAAGGTTCAATACCTTGTGCTGTTCAAAATACTAAGCCACGAGGTATTACTCAAGAAAGAAAGTCGAATATATTGAAGAAGTTAAGTAATCTCATCCCAAAAAACAGATTACCATTCTGGGAAAACTTGCCCGTTAACAATGATTCGATTGATCTCATACAACACAGAGAGTCTGAAGAGTAACATTTAGGTGTTAAAACTTTTTATTTCTAATGCGCCTAATACACGTGCATGCTTTACCACAGTTTTATTTGCGCATGCCAGCTTTTACACTGATCATTGCGGATGTGGTTGGTAAAACTGTACGCCGCGCCAACCCCACAGCGCAATGTTCTTTGTACAAACCGGTTTGCGGAGGCAAAACTGTGGTGAAGCTTGCGCGTGTGGTAGGCCCATAAGAGTTTGTTGTTAAGAAGGATTGCTATTTTGATTTATAAGAAGAAGTCTTTTTTTAAATGAGAAATGTGTAGGCTGTGTTTAGAATTTTATATTCAGTTATTTTTCCTAAAAGTATTTAAAATAATGTTAAGTAATGTTTATGAGCCTGCTTTGCTCAACTTTATGAGACTGAAAACATAAATAATATAAAAAAGTAGTTCATCTTGATTGTGATAATAACCCTAATATAGAATTTCAATTTTAATTTATTATTGTAGAAATGTAGACCAAAATTATATAGGTTATAGAAGTTGGCTACATATTTTTAATTTCATTTGTATTTCTATAAAAATATTTTGTGTAGATTTGATTTTGTGCCATAAGCCATAACAATAGTTATTGTTTATTTAAAACAATGATAACTTAATGAGTGAGAAAAATGTTTTTGTAACAAGTTTTATAGATTGATTATTTAAGCTAAGTAAAATTAAATATATTTTTTTATAATAACTACCTTTCTTTGTCTTATTTCGTTTCTTAGTCATTTTTATATTTGACAGAAGCTAAATTTAACTACATTTTAACTAGTGCCAGACATCAAAATATAAAATGATTGCTAATTATAAACGCAGTATTGAGCATGTGCTTGGTAATTTTGCAGTAATAAACACAATTACTGCATTTAGTCTTAGTAATACGGCAATGCTCGCAAGCCCAGAAAGTTGATGAAAATGCAGTACTGAGCGATTTATCAAAATAAGACAATAAAGTAAAGAAAAAAATATATCAATAGAAAGCTAGATTTTTTTACTATTTTTAAGTCACACCTTAAAAGTTATATAACGGATATTTCTCTATTAGACATGAAGAAATTAGTTTACCGCGTTTAGCTCCAAACCGCCATTTTGCAAGTACTGCGTTTACAATAAGCAGGGCAGTGCTCCCGCCTGGGTGAGGCGGAAGGGAGTGTCAGACTCTTACTGACTAAAAACCACCCCGTTCCTTCTCCTGCACGTCGAGCCGGAGCCCCGGTTACCCCCACACCACCACAGATGCGGCCCTATTGGGCCCCATCTGTGGTGGTCTGATGGCTCTTTGAGGCGCGCGCGGAACGCTACGCGCCGTACGCTTGGGTCTGTTTCTGGTCGGACGGGGAGCCACCCATGCTCAGCGGCTAAGGAGCTAGGCACCTTTTTAAAAACCAATAAACACTTGCTGTCTGACTTCGCTGCACAAGAAGGTATACGTTTTAACCCTTAAATTGTTTTTGTCCGTTCTATGTGACATACAATAAAAACGCACACAAGTGTAATTTGAAGCGACGGTTGCAGCTCTCGCGCGGCATGAAGCGTCTTTTAGGCTATCCTTTTCACACTTACGCGTTTAAATCAGCTCTCTCGCTCGTAAGGAGTGTTGTGTCAGTCATTTCAAATATTGCAACGGTAGACTCAGTTTGCGCTCGTCAAAAATATTGTTATAATGTAAGTATTTGATTGATTTTTACAAATGTTATGTGTAACTTTATTAAAATAATCATTTATTGATTGAATTCAATTGTTTTTACCACGATAAAATTGGTTTATTTTCTTAAAAATTTTAATAAATCCAGATGTCATTTCTAACGGACATTGCCAAATAGGTATCACAAGGAGTAGCTTTTATGTTTGTCATTTGTAACGGACATTGCCAACTAGTATCTTGTTAATTTACGTCACATTTTTTACAGTAAAAAAATAATATTAACGGTATTCGTTTCAGTAACATGCCGAAAGCTTGGAGATCTAAGAAGATTCTGGCTCTGTTACCTCCTCCAGATTCAGAAGGTTCGGAATTAGAATCTGAAGATGATGATGAAAGAAGAATAGTAGCACGTGAGTACTTCAGAAATGACTTCAGTTGTTCTTCTTCCGTGAGAAGTATTTCGTCTGAAATGTATGACCTACTTCAAGATCTTAGTGACTTAGATGAACCAGAGCCAGAATCAGGAACTCAGTCAGGAAAAGACAATCCGCTCGTAAATCAAAATGAATCCCTACCATCCACATCATCCTCATCTTCGTTTGTAGCTAGACCTCAAAATCTACCTCCATGCTTTGTACCACCTACACCATCTACAAATTCCGTAACATCTCCACTGACACCAAGTTCAGCAACAACACGTCGTCGTACTAGACAAATCGCTAATATTGAGTCATCATCATCAATGCTTCTTCCATCAACAGAACCTGCTGTAAAAAAGCGTAAGCTAAAACAATTAGGATTTACATTTAAGAAAACCAAATATACAGGAACCGTGGAAGTGGATACAAGGGTTACTTTTGCAGAACAATTTGAAGTTAAGACACCGCAACAATATTTTAAAAAGTTTTTTAGCGACGAACTATTACGGCCGATCTCAATAACATACTTACCTTTGACTATCTGTTACATTACCGATCTTTAGTAGCTACAAACGCATTTTTGCGTTTCAATAAACTAAAGATAGATAGGAATATCTATCTTTACTTTGATCTACCATTGGGAGGGCTTACCGCTTACCATAGATATGTAAATCCATAGAAAAAAAATGTAGAGCGTCTCAATAACATTTTGACCGTTAACTTTAGTTTGTTTTCGTAACTGTCAGTTGAAAATTAGCTATCTCCCGAAATCGGGCGATTTACTGCTGGTTTTCATAGTAATTACAACTTATTTCATAATAAAATGGATTTGTTTAGTGATGAAAGTGATAATGAGATGTATGAAGCCGGTGTATTTGATTCTGCGACAGCTACAGTATCTGGTGAATGCAAAGTGTACAGTCGCATTAACTATGAAAGTGAATTGTCTGACTCGGAATTTACATTCAGATTTAGATTAAATAAAAGTAGTGTTAATGAGTTATTAGTAAAAATTTTACCAAATTTGAGAGTGAAATCCTCCCGGTGAGTAAATTATTTCTAGTACTTCATCTAAAGTTATCAAGTAAAATTAACAAAAGTAATGGACCAATGAATTTAGCTGTTAACTAAACATTTGATATTTATTTTAATTTATGACCTACTTATAACTAATTAAACATTTTATTTCAGGAACTATGGTGTATCTCCACTACACCAGTTGTTGCTCACTCTTAGATTTTATGCATTGGGCACAATGCTTGTATCTGTTGCCGACTTCGTTGGAGTTTCTAAAGCAACAGCTAGCAGAATTGTGTCTGATGTATCTCGTGCAATAGCTGGACTGTATCCTGAATATGTTAAAGTTTTGGAAAACACACAGCATGCCTTCCATGCCATTGCAGGATTCCCCAAAGTACTTGGAGCAATTGACTGTACACATATACCCATACAATCACCCAGTGAGTTGACATTTTTACTGTTAAAATGCTCGAGTCATGCTTTTATTCCTTTTACAAAGCTTGCACTTACTCAGATCTAAATGAATAAATAAGATTTTATTTTTAGGTTCTAATATAGGAGAAGAGTACAGGAATAGGAAAGGAATATTCTCAATGAATGTTCAAGGAGTCTGTAATGCAGACTTGCTATTTATGAATGTAGTTGCTCGGTGGCCAGGGTCTGCTCATGATGCTACTATATTTAACAATTCCATTATTAAAAGTGAGTATAAGCATAATATTTTCTATTAAGTATTTATTAAACTTTTCATGCATACCATCACCTACATAAAATAACATTCTTATAATTATTTTCAGTGCAATGTGAAGATGGGATAATTGAAAATAGATGGCTCATTGGTGACAGTGCATATCCCTGTAGTTCATACCTATTAACGCCATTGCTCAACCCGGTATCTCTTGCAGAAATTCGGTACAATGAATCACATATCAAGACCAGGAACACCATAGAAAGGTTGATACCTATTATCATTGATCACTTGCCTATTTGTTTTCATATGAATATATAAATTATAGATATAGTTGTGTAACTAAAATATTGTTAGTCATTTTATATTTTTTTCACTTTTCAGGTGCTTTGGAGTATGGAAAAGACGCTTTCCAGTGCTTTCGTTAAAAATGCGTCTCGCATTACAAACAACACAAGCTGTTATTATTGCCACATCTGTGTTACACAACATTTGCAGGTTGAATAATATAAGTGAGGTGGAACCTGAAGTTGAGATACCGCTTGAGCAAGCTGATAATATCCTAGTTGAGGGAGTAGGCCACCAACATCATGTTAGACAACATCTAATAGATAATTATTTTAGTTGGTGTGTACCTAATCATACAATTTGATGTGTCTTATGTTTTTAGAAAATTAATATGAAAATGATCAAGGGTATATTATTTTTTTTCAGATCAACACAGAATATTTGGGGCTAAATTCGACAAAAGAATATTGTAAAAAATATCAAGAACTCTGATTATATTTAAATAATATTCAAATGTTTAATTTTTATGTCCTTACCATTATTATCTTTTTGATAAAATATAATAAAGAAAAAGAGAATATACTGACACAATATTTTTAATTAAACAAACACAATCTCTTAACTATACAAAATATGACAAAACTTAATAACTAATCAAAACATGTAAAGACTAACTTATAAATATTGGGAACTTAAACTAATCATTACAGTTAATTTTCTGTTTCATTAATTTTATTTCTAATTCTAGTTTAATATTCTCTAATTCTATTTTTTTATTTTCTAATATTACTTTTTGTGCCTTGGCTTGAAAATAAGTTGCCAACCCCAGATCTTTGTCTCGCTGAGCTCTCTGTACTTCTTCAGAGAGCTTTCTCCGTTTATTCACTGTAAAAAAAAGTTTTATTTGATTTAAATGGTATTTGCACAAAATTCCTTCACCTACTGTTTATACTAATGAATCCTTAATATATTTTTACACCTTGCAACCTTTTACTAGCACTGTAAACAATTTGTCTCAAAACGGTAACCCATATCACTGAACTATGTAAATTATTTTAGCGACAAGTTATAGATATATGTAACTTACTGGCACTTTTTGGAGTGTTAAAAATATAGTTCTTTGGTGTGTAAGTACCACCATTACCACCACAATCACCACCACCACCATTACCACCACAGTCACCACCCAACACAACAACGCTACTGTCCTGAACTATTTCTGGCAATGGCTGGAAGTCAAAAACTTCTACAATTGCTTCAGCGGCTTTGCTAGCAATAGCTTCATCCGCATCACCACCAAACTCCGCAGGTAAGCCATTGCAAGTAGAACCTAAAATTGATGCTACTCTGTCCAAAACATCATCAGGAGGTATGAAAGACTTCCCTCCTCCAGTCTGTAAATTAAAAACAAAGTTTAGAGCAACCAAAATAAAATGAATGACTATATTAATCCTTATTAATATAATTTCTTAAATACTGACCTTAAGGTTGTTTTGTCTAATGAAAGCACTACGCTTCCTAGCAGACTTCTTTAAATTCTCCCACTTGAGTCGAATTTGCTCAGGACGCCGCAAATCTCCCGTAACAGCACTGAACTCCTGTGCAATAGACTTCCATGCTTCCTCTTTTAGTTTGTTATTGGTTGCGTTCGTCGCTTTGGTAGTTATAACTGGATATTTCATTATCATGTCAAGAAGAAGAATGATGCTGTCCTTTACAAGCGGTTTAGCTTTAATCTGAAAGTAAATTATAATAAATTAAGGCGCGAATAGGTGGCACGACCCTTTTGTTTATGTTCCAGGTATTTATAGGGTTTTAAACAAAATATAATCAATGGGTACGCAGTCAACACTTACATTTTGTTGCTCAGCCATTTTATAAGAAAATTACACACTAGGTAATTAATAAATACAAATTAGATTTCCAAACAAATCACAAGTCGATATTCGAAACACAAAACAATCAACAGTTGCGAGAGAGCGCGGGAGTTTGACAGCGCGATAGCGTCGCGTCATTTGCTGGTAAATGTCAAAAAATTGTTTTATTGCATCATGTTAGAAAGCATTTCATCATTATTTTATTTTAAAAGTCCACCATTTTCGTATAAATAAAAAAGGAGGTTTTTTAAAAGTACAAATTTACTGAAGCTTATAATATCATATAAGCAAAAATAATATTTTTTACAAGAAACGCAACGTAACGCATTTTTTGTGAGGGAAAGGACCTATCTGTCTTTAACTGTGGATATCGTTGCGGACATTATGTTATTGAGACGGCAGTTACTGACAGATCAGAAGTAACAGTAAAACTCTGGTAGCTACCTGAGTTTAACTTTTAGTAGGATATTGAGATCGGCCGTTAGATTACATAGTAGATATGACTAACCTTTATTCTGTTTAAGATCAAGGTAAATCTATTAATGTTACCAAAAAAGAAATAGAAATAGTACTGGGTATTGTCATTATAATGGGAATTGTTAAGATGCCAGCTATCGAAGATTATTGGAGTAACGACCTTCGTTTTGAACCCATAGCATCTGCTATGGGTATCAAACGTTACAGAACCATCAAACGCTTTCTACACTTTTGTGATAACACAAATGTAGATAAGAATGACGGCTATCACAAAGTTTCTGCTGTGATGGAACATGTCCGTCAGCAGTGTCTCAAATTGGAAGAAGAAAGATCATTTGCTATTGACGAAATGATAATACCATATAAAGGGAAGAAAGCCGGCAATCGGAAACAATACAATCCAAAAAACCCACAAATGGGGTTTTAAATTTTTAGTTCGGGCGGGCACCTCAGGGATGGTATATGATTTTTTCCCCTATGATGGTGCAAATACCTTTCAGCGAGTACTATTTACAGAATGGGAAGAAAATTATCTCGGCGTTGGCGGCAAAACGGTTGTTAGATTATGTAAAACTATATCTAATAAAGTTCTTTCCACAGTTTACTTTGATAACTGGTTCACTTCTTTAGAATTGCTTCATTACTTGCGAAACGAGTTTGGTATTCTATCCTTGGGAACAATAAGAAAGGATAGACTGCGCAATTGCCACCTAAGTAGTGATAAAGACATGAAGAAGAAAGGTCGAGGAACATATGAAGTTGTGTGCGATAACGGCAAAAGATTGGCAGTTACAAAGTGGGTAGACAACCAATGTATACACATTGCCAGCTCCTTTTGTGCCCAAGATCCTGTCACTACGATCGACAGATACGACAAAAAAGAAAAAGGCGAGTTTCTGTGTCCTGTCCACATGTAGTCAAAGTGTATAATGCACATATGGGTGGAGTAGACATTGCAGATATGTTGACTGCTTTGTACAGGATACGCATGAAGACGAGGCGCTGGTATTTATCAATTTTTGCCCAGCTTTTGGATATTGCACTCAACAAAAGCTGGCTGTTACATCGTCGTGATTGTATGCAAAATGGAAACGAAAATAAATTATCACTAAAAAAGTTTCGCATACAGGCTGCTCTTGCACTCATGACAACCAACACCAAATCTCAATTCCCAAGAGGAGCACTTGATCCTGGGCCTGATACAATTACCAAGCCTTTTATACCTCGTCCTGTGGATGAATCACGCCTCGATTGTTTTGATCATTTTCCCGTTTACACGTCTCAGGGGCGATGTCGTTTGTGTAAGAGCGGAAAAACTATGGTGTTGTGTTCAAAATGTGAACAGAGACTCTGTTTCACAGTAAAAAAAAAATTGTTTCTTATTATTTCATAAAAATAAATAATTATCTTTTTGTTTTGTTTTTAAACGTTTATTTTTTGTTACAAAAGGTGGATTTTATTTTGTTAGAATTTATTAAACTTTTATTTTGTAATGCGAGTAGTCATTAGTATTATATTTAATAATTCCTAAAGTGTAACTTCATCTCAAAAATAGTTGAACGACTTATGTTTTTAAAACATTGTTAAACTGTCAAACACCAAGCGGTCACCGGTGACCGCAACCTATTGTTCTATAATTGTGTCTATAATGACGGTACTCGACGAGTTAATTTAGTTTAAGTTTTTTTGTTAACATGTAAACCTGGTTATGTCCGTTTCATGTGACACATACAATGTGATCAATGTTTATAGGATGGCTGGCAATGTCACTTGTGTGCATTGTTTTAGAAATATACATTGAAAACAACATAGTTAATATAATATATTTGTTTAAATTTCATATGCGTTTTCTTAATTTACCCCAAATAAGAAATATAATTTAAAAAAATGTAAAAAAAAAACGTTTTATTGAGAGACTGCCAATTTAAGGGTTTTCATTCCCGCTTACTTCCCTCACTTCGGCGGCATTTGGGAATCAGGCATCAAATCCGCTAAACATCATATAAAACGTGTCATAGGCAATCTTCATCAGACGTTTGAAGAATTGCAGACTTTATTTGCACAAGTGGAGGCGATACTAAACAGCCGTCCCTTGTGTCCCATGTCCTCCAATCCTAACGACTTCCTTTCCCTCTCTCCAGGACATTTTCTCATCGGGAGAGCGCTGACTGCGGTCCCATCACCCCTTCTCGAAGATGAGGATCCAAACAAGTTAAAGAGGTACCAAAGATTGGAGCAAGTTCGTCAACATTTTTGGCGTCGCTGGCAAGCCGAATACATCAACGAACTTCAAAGACGACAGAAGTGGATGAAGGACACTCCGCAGCTCAAAGTGGATGACTTAGTCCTAATCAAAGAAGATCTACCACCTTTGTGTTGGCGACTCGGAAGAGTAACAAGGCTGTTTCCGGGACCCGATGGCGTGGTACGAGTGGCAGACGTAAGAACCGCAACGGGCTGTCTTCGACGAGCTTTGGCTCGGCTGTGCCCTCTTAAGTCAAGCAGAAGAGCCTTAGTTGAAAGAGGAGCCTTTCAACGGGAGGAGCATGGCGCGGCGTTAACGCCTGCTCAATCATCCAAGCAATACGTCACAGCTACGGCGCACATTGCTATCGTGGTTTTAAAACATTTTGTTTTAATCTACCTGTCGTGAATTACTTTTTAGTATATTTTTCTTCTCCGCTCAGTCTTCACACGGAACAGAAGCGTTTTTTGTATTTTTACAGAATTACACGTTGTCACAGTTTTCTAGGGTTTTATTTCTAAAACAAGTAAGGAAATACGACTCTCAAATGTCTCACAAGCAGACAGGTGGCGCCGATCGTCTGGATCAAAATGTAGGATGCTACCGAGTATCTATAAGGCTGAAGAGATGGTACTGGCAATTACTTATGTTTCCTCTCAATGCTTGTGTCAACAATGCCTTTCAATTATATAAATTGTCTCCAGCATCCAAGAACGGCAACAGTTACGATCTTTTATCGTTTACCAGGTACCTTGTTACAACATATTTTCTCATGAAGGAGGCCTCTGACGTCATCTCCGTCGCTAAATATTCGGTACCCAGATCATCATTGTGGCTGTGATAAAACGGGTTCCTGACTCTATAAGGCTAGACGGAAAAGCTCATCACATTGTCAAGCAAAATAAATCAACCCGATGTGGATTATGCTCCGTCAACTAATGATTACGCTGCCATCCCAACATTGAATTCAATTCAATCATTACCCACAGATGGAGATCCATCCCATAGATGGAGTTGAACTTCTGCAGTCACCAGTTCCTAACACGTCAAAAGCTTCGCCTGTGCCGATTACTAGATCTAAATGTGGTAGTCAAAAAGGTTAAGAAAACTAAATTTTCATTGATATACAGCTGAAAAAAACCTTATTTACGCCATAGGGGACGGCTACGTGGATGAAGGGATACACGAACTTCATGAAACGCAAAAAAAACAGTATTGCAATAATTTCGCTGTTTATTTCACCAGACATCATTTCAGATATCGTTCACAATACAAACTTATATTCTGTTCAACAACATGGCAAGTCTATACAATTGACAAATGAAGAGTTAGAACGGTTTCCTGCTATTGAAATGTTAATGAGTGTGGTTCACATGCCAGCATACAATGATTATTGACAATAAATACCCGATATCCTCTCATATCTGATGAAATGCCCCTAAAACGTTGTCAACAAATATGCCGCAAAATTCACTTTGTGGATAATAGCATGGAGGATTCAGATCGCTATTACAAAATACCCTGTTATGGAGAAGATCAGACAAAATTGTTTGAAGATAAAGGAAGAAGGGCAGTACTGAAATGATGATCCCATACAAAGGCACGAAAGCTGGGAATAGGCGGCAGTATACAAAGAACAAGCCGAAAAAATGGGGCGTCAAAAATTTTGTAAGCGCCGGGATTTCAAGCATAATATATGATTTCATCATGTACGGTGGAGATCACATGTTCTGTGAACACACTTTCACAGTTTAAGAAGCTTCACTTGGGATTGTGCACAACAAAAAAAAAGAAGCCATCTATCATATACGATAATAACTTTTTTACTTCTCCAGAGCTTATTTACTTATTGTGAGAAGAATATGGTATATTCAGCCTGGAACCAATACGAACAATCCAGCTCAGGGGTTGTCAAAAACTGTTACCCTTTGAAAAAGAAATAAAAAAGAGAAGGAGAGGATAAAGTGCCTAAGTTGTGTGCAATAACAATAAGTTAGCTATCGTAAAATGGAACGATAACAAGGTAATTAACCCTAGAACCCTACTCGGGGTGCTGGAGCACCCCACAAGGATTTGTTTTTGAATTTATTTCACTTGTGTATAATTCATAGATTTGACTTCTCGCGTATTTTACCTTGAGGTCATGCGCTACAGATTGGCCAGTGACGCGGTGACAGCCGGACGGTATAGACGCGTTCACGTGTGTCGTTGGGTGCTGTAGCACCCCAGTGTAGTAACAACGTAAGTATTTTTTTGAAATTATAATAATTATTTT